TGTGCACTCTGAGAATAGATCAGGGGATGGTCCATAAAATAGTCTATTACGTGATACATGGACTTATCATGCCTTTGATATATTATATCATATACCTACCTTATGGAACCCACAAGTGCAAACTATGTGCCTGCCAAACAGGTCCACCTTATTCCCCCTTTGCAGGGGACAGGCATCAATCCGCTCCAGGACCTCCTTCCATTTTCTGCTTCCAGGCCTTTTGCCTGTACTGAACTGGAAGGTGCCCTGGGCATACCTATGGCAGATGTCATTCCAATAGGCAGAGGATTTGCCTGTTTTGGTCATATCTGAACAATATTGGGGAACAAATCAATGTAGTTAATATGTGTTAATATAGCAACAGTAGAATTAGTTTTTTTGGAGTTTTATATTTTACACACACACACACACATATTCATATATATGTATATATATATATATATGTGTGTGTGTGTGTGTGTGTGTGTAAAATATACAAAATATATATTGCATCAAATATACAAAAGCAGACATGTTGAGTGGTGAAATATGTGGCAGGTTAATAGTTTTCTGCAATAAATATATTCCTACTTGCAAAAAATTTATGTATAATTTTGCAAGCTTTTGATGTATAATTACAAAAACTGTGTTTGTGTATAAAGTAAGAAAGGAAAAAAAATGAACATAATGATTAGTGGAAAACAAAAACTAGATATTTAATGAATACCTGGAATAATAAATTATTCAAATACATTCAGCAACGAATCACTCAGCCATGACTGAAATAACATAGGGAATGAATACTTGGAATACTGAATGATGAAATTAAATTCTTGCAAAGATATAGAAAATAAAAACGTTAGACCCATGTTATGCATCAAAGGGTTAACTACCGTTAATTAGCGATAACTGATACACGTTAAGTTAGCTTGCCTTGCAACGCAAGCGTAGACCTCTTTAGAGTACCGATCCGAATAATCTTTATTCCAAATCATGAATGAATGTTTGAACAAATAGGTTAACACTAGTGTCACGGATTTGTAATTTGATAACGCTTACCTTGAATCTCCGGATAGCAGATGTCCAGTGACAGTGAGTTACAAACAGCTGGAATGTCACGAAACTCATTCAGCCAATCAGCGGCAAGAATGGCATGTCAACTCGATTGCTGATTGGCTCTTTCCTCTTGGTAGGAATTGATTAGCTCCTTTGCCCCATCTGTTCGAAAGTTTCGGATTTGTGTTAGGACCTGTTCGGATTTATTTAGGAGGTTTGCACACCGTTCGGACTTTCGTTCGGACTTTGGTAGGAAGTGTTGTGACCTTGTTCGGAAGTGTTGCGAACTCGTTCGGAAGTATTCAAATGTTGTTAGGAAGTGTTCAGCCGGTGTTCTGGCGATTTGTGCTAATTTACCCTTTCAGATTGTGCTACCTCCCATTAAAAAGATAGGTGGCACAAATCGATAGCGAAAAATACTACCTATCAGATTCTGTTACCAGCATCTTATTCATGTGGTTTGAGGCTTTTTTAAATGTTTATGCTTATCCCTACCCTAAACGTACCCGGTCGCTATATTTATAATAGAGTGTTTTGCGTGCATGTTGTCGTGGCCGAGTGGTTAAGGCGATGGACTAGAAATCCATTGGGGTCTCCCCGCGCAGGTTCGAATCCTGCCGACAACGAGTCTTTTATATTTACGTTCAAAAGTTAAATTTTGGTAAGTTGTTTAATATTTCTTTTTTGTTTTACTTGTCTCTTATGCTCACTAGAGACGCATTTATTTGAACATAATTACAGTAAAAACTGTAACATTGAGAAATTGTATTGCAATTTAAAATAACTATTTTCTATATGAATATATTGTAAAATGTTATTTTTTCTTTGTGGCAAAGCTGAATTTTCAGCAGTCTTATTCCAGTTTTCAGTGTCACATGATCCTTCTGAAATCATTCTAATATGCTCATTTGCTGCTCAATAAACAGTTTTGAAAACACTTATGCTGCTTAATATTTTTGAGGAAACCATGATGCTGTCAGATGGTGTAGTTACGGCATCTTGCAGTAGTTAACAGGGTGATGTTAACTAGCAAACCTTGACCGTAGTTTGTGATGGATGCATTCAGAACACATAACCACATACAGATAATAGACACTCCCAGTTTCATTTAATAGTACAGAGCATGAATGGCAGATGTTGTGAGTTCAAACTGTAGCCTAATAGTAAAAGGGGAAAACACCTTATTAAGAATCTATCAGACAGTTGTATGCCCTTACAAATTAGGAAAGGTAGGGCGACCAGACGTCCCGGTTTCAGGAGGTGTTTGGTGCAATGGTTTCCATAAAAATAAGTAACAATAACTGTCAAGCAGTTTCAGGGGAGAGAACTGCTCTTGTCAAGCAATTTCCACTTTAGCATGTTTTTTTTAAGCATTGAATACATACATTTATATATAGAGAGAGAGAGAGAGAGATTAAATTAATATTTTGTTATTTTATGAATTATGAACTGTAAATTCACATGTAAATGTGTCGTCAATATTTCAAGCATGACAGCTCATTATTATTTTAGGCCTACATGACATGATAAATGAGAGAAAACATATAATTTGCTATTTTAAACATGAATTTGTTACACAGATTCTTTAGGGGACCAGCAAAAATCCGTGTTGAACATTTGAAAACGTAATTAAAAGGACTAAACATTTTTGCATTAGACATATATCAGGAGCATATATAGCCAGAAACCAATCGCTATAGGAAAGTAAAGTGTGCAACTTTCCAATTTCTCTACATTTATACCCATGTAAGAGCTAATTTGGCGCCATCATGTGACTGAAAACGATTACTACGACTGCCCATAATAAAAATGGGCCTGAACAGTTTTATTATTGTCAGTGAGCATAAAAGTATTAATAGATTGATAAAAATCCTCAATAATACCCAATTAAAGCAAGAAAAAGAAAGCATCACTCAGAAAAACAAGGGACCAGAAAGAGACAGAAAAATCTGGATGAGCGTCAACTGAAAGCGATATGCATTTCTTTGTTTTGCGGAAACAAAGAAAAGAAGATATTACAAAAAGAAGAAATGAAGATATTTTGAAGAATGATGGTAACTAAATAGTTTTGGTGACCTTTATAGACTCAGACATTTCTCAAAATAACTTTTTATTTATTAATTTAGTTAGTTTTTCCATACTGTGTATATAGAATAGAATGTCCCTCTTTCAGGATGGTGTATTTGAAAGAGAATTTTTTTAATCCAAATAAGCTGTACAAATCTTTATTAGAAAGGGTTTAAACAATGGTTTTCGTGCTAGTTCAATGAACCACAAACAATTATTGCACATGCACCTGTGGAACAGCCTTTAAAACTCTTACAGTTTACAGGCAGTAGGCGGTAGGTATAGCTCACAGTTATAACCTTTCTACTGACTCTGAAAAACACCAGGAGAAAGATGCCCAAGGTTCCTGATCACCTGTGTGAACATGCCATTGTCCTGCTGCAGGGAGCAATGAGGACTGCAAATGTGGCCAGAGCAATAAACTGCAATATCCGTAATGTAAGACGCTTAACACAGTGCAGGGAGACAGGACAGCTGATCGGCCTTGCAGGGGCAAACCATGTGTAAACACGTGTCCCCCGAGACGTGTTCATGAAGGAGAAGTTGCACTGTAGTACGTTGCAGCTGGTGGACACAGAATATACTCACTGCCACTTTTGATATTGCCCTGATTTTTAAGAAGAGGAAGACTTTCTGGTCTTCAGTCATTTAGACTTCATCGGAATGGTATAAAACTTTACTTTTGTGACACTTGTTAAATGAACACACACACGCAAAATCATAAAAATGATTAGAAAAGGCTAAATGATCTTTAAAAAATATATAGTCACGTGATCTTCACGGTCAAAAAATTATTGACATAGGAAATGAATGGGAAATATGAAAATACAGAGCAATTTTTGGGGGTACAATCTACAAATCAATCACGACTAAGTAGTATTTGATAATTTCTAAATAATAATAATAATAATTTAGCAGAAGAAGAATCAGAATCAGAATCAGAATGAGCTTTATTGCCAGGTATGTTTATACAGGACTCGTCACCGTCCTTTGACTTACAGTGCATTCAGGCTTACAGTGCATTCAGGCTATACATTTTTTACCAGTATGTGTGTTCCCTGGGAACACACACACACACACACACACACACACACACACAGAGCTCATTGTTAGTTAGTTAAGGCATTAAATATAGTTAACAAATGGAACCTTATTGTGTTACTGCAAAACCTACAAAAAATGTAAGTACTTAATTATGTCTGATATATATAACCAAATATGGAAAACAGTCCTATATATATAGCTATACATGCAATTTAAAGTATTTTTTGCATGATTGTGCTTGCATACAATATTGCCAAAGCATCATACACAAAACCAGTCATGACAAGAAAAATAAATATACAGTAGGCCTATAACAATAATTCGTTTTATTTCTCCCACCAGATGGCACCAATCTGGTTCCATGTTCCATGCACTGGGTTTTAGATACCGCTATTTTTTACTTAAACACTGTATTAACTGAAAATAATATATATTCTAATATTTTTTTATGTTATATGGCATAATTTATAGCTGAATATTGTCTAGTACCACGAAAACTCCTCAAAACACAGAATATTTAAAAACAATATATATGAAAATTATTGAAACAAAATATAGTACATTCATTTAATTAATAAAAAAAAAAAAACTATGACCCCTATGTGAGGTAACCTTTACCAGAGGGTTAACACAAGAATTTAAGGTCATCCAAAACCGCTAATCTGCGACCCTTGTTCGGTCTCGAGAACAAAAGAATAGTCATGCGTGCGTGGCACAAAGCGGCAACACTTTTGCAATAGTTGTACATGTAAACGCCTATGCTGCAACAACACTTGTGGATGTCTCCACTACACGTGAGCGCCCCGCAAATCTCGAAGGGCCTTTTATTTCATATTAATCATGCTGCATGTCCGTGTGAGCTCATTCACACATCCGTGTGCGTGTGTGTGTTTAGATGTCATGGCTGCGTGGCGCACGCACGCACGCAACTGCTGGCTTTTTTTAATAACTGTCTTTTCGTGATTGAATCATAAAGAGGACAGTTGGAGTTTAATTGAATAAGGGAGCAGAGGAGAGAGAGAAAGAAAAAGAGAGTGAGAGGGAGGGACTCGATGTGGCCATACAGGCTGCGGAGTGTTTTATTTATTTGTGCTGGCTCCCCTTTTTCTTTCTTTCTTATTATTTTTCAACTGATTTTCCAAAATGAGGTTAAAAGTTGGATTCATCCTTCGAAGTTTACTGGTCATTGGCACGTTTTTGGGTCTGGTTTTGCTTTGGTCTTCCCTGACACCGAAGGCAGTCGACGATAACCCGTTTGCTGGTGTACTGGTAAAGTACAGCTTTAATGTTCTTGAGTTATTTTGAAATCTGAGTGTTTTCGTTGTGCTGTTAATTTCACCCTATGTCAGTATTCAGCAGGGTCGGCTAGCATGATGATTAGCATGCTAAACTGCTGCGGTTGTCATGGAGATGAGCAGCGAGAACTGACCGATGAATGAAAACAGACACAGACGTTTATATTTATCCTGTGTTTTCATTCAAATTAACTAAAACACGCAGATATGGCTGTAAACTGCTAGCACGGAGAGCTAAATGTCGCTCTCTACATCCTCATAAGTGTCAAATTAAGCGAAAACCCGGAAGGTCGTGACTGTAGTTACTGGTTCTCTATTTGAGACTCGCATAATTTATGTAAAATCACATCAAAAGCAGCTGTTTTCAATTAAAATGTTTATTTCCTGTTATCCTTCCAGGTGATTTGCAGTATCAGTACTGATTATGGACTAAAGGGGTCTTCGAGATTGAATGGGGGGGGTCGATATGCTTGCAGACTGAGTTAAAGGCCGATTATCAGCTCGACAGAAGCGAGTGTACAACGACACACTTCACTGCTTCCACAAGAGATTGTATAGAAATGCAAGTGTGAGCGCACTGACACGTGGCACTTGACAGCTTTCTGTCAATGGCTGTAACAGCTGAGCTGTCTGGTTTACCTTGGCTTGTCATTCTGGCATTGAAGTTAACGTTAGACTTATTTGAACACTGCTTTTGAACAGAGCATACATTGTTTGTACGGAGTCTCTTCTTTGTTTACTCGCTTCGCTTTAGGTTGTGTTTTGCATAATGGGTTCTTATGTAAATGTTTACTTGAAATTTCTTGTATCAGTCTTTGCATATGGCCTCTTAACCCTGTAAAGCTGACATTAAATAATAGTCAGAATCTATAGTTTATAAATAAAACAGTTTATTGAACCTTTCTTTATACAACAAAACAAAACGACATCTAAACAAAGTTTACATTTGTGTTTTTTGTTCATAGGCTATTTGATGCATCAGGCTCATATCACATAATATAGTAAGAATATGAAGCTCATACATGAGGAGGGTACAAAAAACAAACCTTAACTTTGGAGACTCAAACTGAACAAAAATATGCAATTTGGTGCAGTTGCGTTCATATGGCCACAATTTAATGTGATATTTAGCTTTTCATAACAGTATTGCAGGCAGAAAGTATGTAGTAGATTGTTTACAAAACAGCAGTTTTGATTGTGTTGATAATTAGGAGATTCTTGTATTAAATATATATAGGTTTATAGGGTTATATAAGCCTATTTATCGTGTTGATTGTGTTAGGAGATTCTTGTATTAAATATATATAGGTTTATAGGGTTATATAAGCCTATTTATCGTTTATCGTAT